GTGATCATGATGTCGTCAATGTATGATCTTCGTCCCAACACCGAGTGGCGATCGAATCGTCAACAAACCCTGTCTGGAAAACGTCTGTTGTATTTCCTGGGTCACCCGATCGCGGGATTTTTAGAAACCCGTTCAGCGCGTTGTCTACGAGGCGTTGATAGATCTGGGGGCATTCTTTAGGCCAAAAGGTATGCGATCCCACTCGAATAGGCCAAACGGAGTGATAAATGCTGCGATCTCGCGAGCCCGATCCGTCATGGGCACGACCCAGAAACCACTGGCCATATCCAGTGAGCAATACCACAACGCCTTGTCGATGTTCTCTAGCGGATCGCTGATCAGAGGCATAGGATAGACCATCAACCTCGTGAGGCTGTTTACCAGCTTGTAGTCGATGCACAGCCTGATATCCACGCCGTTACTCTTGCGAACAATCACTATTGGTGACGCCCATGGCGACGTCGAAGATCGGATGATTTCGGCTGCTAGGAGCCCCTTGATCAGGCCTGCGACTTTTTCCCGAAACCGTGTGGGTACTTTCCGGGATCCCAACGTGATCGGTTTTGCGTTTCCGACATCAATATCATATACGACGCCCCATTCTCGTGGTAGTATATCTCATCATCGTCCTCGGTATCTTGTCGGGGGATCGATGCTGCTTCTTCCGCTGGTGGGTCGTGTGGCTCCACGCCCTCCGTAGGGTGGATCTGGGTGTTTACGCCGTAGCCGTAGCCGTATTCGGGCTTGGTTCTGGTTTGACAATTCAGATTTTCCTTTATCGACTCGATGGCCTTTGTGCCAGTCCGATCGGGAGCCTGGTCCGGCATGCTCTCACTTATCCCGTCGCCGCAGCATCGCCGCTCCGGGACCGATCGGCGCTAGGGTTTGTTGGTCGTGTAGGCGGATGACCTCTTCCCGGATTGAGAAATCCTGCCTCGATCTGGGCTGTATTAGTCGTCTCCGCCCGCGATCGAGTCCCTAGGGTCGATATCCTCGTGCGACCTCGGTCGACGTCAGCGGTTTCGGACCGGCAAGTATCGATCGTGATGTGCGATACGTTGGTCGTTGTACTACCGGATCTTTAGGACATGACGTAGTTTCTGAAGGCTCTGATCGAGTATCTACCGTCGATTCCAATGCCATATTTTGCCACTCCCTGTAACGGCGAGACCCGACGGACACGAGCCCTGGGGATCGGGGTACTTTGTCCTGATCCGGTATCATTCCGACGTCCAGCCGATAGTCCTGTCGTAGGATCTCTTCTCCGATATTCGAGATCACCAGGTAGCGGATCCGACCGTGGCCTTCTGTTACTGTCGGTACCCATCGTTTCCTCTGTAGCTGACAATTCCATCTTGCTGCTGTCTCTTCTGACTGTCCGACCGGGATTCATAGACTTCTTTCGAGGGTTACTGATCTCATCTTTTTGCCGTACAGTCTCTTACGACCATTAAGCGGTATTCCAGCCTCGTCAGGTAGGCGCATCGATCCGTCGGCGAGGTCCATCCGCACACCGGCTGGGACCATGAAATCCATGTCTAGGATCGCATTCTGTCCTGATAGATCTTAAATCCAGATGTCAAAAAATACACCAGATATCCCGCTAACGGGAACTTGATCCTGGTTCTGTGGCATGTATGTTGTCACCAATTCCCACGCATTCATGTCTCTGACTAGTGTCAAAGTGGCATCTCACCTTACGAGCAAAGGTAGTATCCATGACTGATACCTCAGCGCCAGCGTCTAGGAGCAGGTTCGCTTTCTCTTGGGTCATCCTGCCTGAGATCTTAGCTTGTCGGAACCATTTTCCCGGTGCATGACATTCCCAATACCCCGGGATTTTTCTCTTTTGATATCTAAGGCCACTTCTGCGTCAGATCGGTTAAATTCTCCGACCCAAGAGAGACTCCCGATCTTGGCGGCGTACGAATGCAAGTTACATATATTACCGCGTGGATCCGACGCCTTCCTACCTCGATCCGTCGTCGCCTTGTTCACGTATGCGTAGATGCAGTACTTAGAACGCTCGGCTCTACTGGATTCCATCCCGGTGAGTGTCCTAGTTTAACATCTTCTCCACTTGCTCTGGGAACAGCCGGGTGTGTCGAGTCGGATCGTACCATTAGCGTATCGGGTTGTAAAATTCCTCCATGGGGCATTCTCCTGCCTCATGGACGTCCCGCATCCACGACACGCGTACGGACAGCGATCCGTTGGTCAACCTCTCGTTCCGCACTTTTCGCACGCCAGACGTTCCAACAGTCTAGATCCGTGGGTTTCCTGGACCCGCAATGCGAACAACGCTCTCGTTCTTGATGATCCCTATCACCCGGTGGTCGACGTTCGGGGGTCCGGCTTCCCTCTGGCGCTTTCGCGCAGGTTCGTGCCGGATCTGGGTTTTGAGAGGCGCCCCCAATGCCGATCAACTTCTCTTCTGTCGCGGCGAGGAGGATCCTCCGTAGTTCACCTTTCGAGTCGGATCCGTCCAATCCCGAGACCCCTTCTGATTCGGAGGCCGGATCTGCGTTGCCTAGTTTTGGCTCGTTCCCGTGCACGAAGCACTTCCTCGAGTTCGTCGATGTCGGCCAGTCTCAGTAGGGTTAAGCGGTCGACCAGCTCGGGATCGCCCAACCTCTCAATATAATGGTCCACATGTTCCCGATGTGCCTTGGGGTTCCCGTCCTTGATCTTGGGTTTAGCTCGTAGGACTGCCACGTTCAACCGGTAGAGATAATCGAGCGGGGTCTCTTCGGATCATTTACGTTCATGGTAGTATTGCCATGACACTGACATACTCAGACCGCAATATTGGGTCTGGAAACTTTCAAATAAATCTGCCCATTTGGGTTTGGTAGTCCGACGTAGCTGTCAATGTCAGTTCTAGGCTGGGCCTACCATCAGATCTGCGAACGTGAGGTATTTCTCCTCTTCTGTTGCGTGGTCCCGTTGGAACGCCGATTTTACCTTGCCGATCTAAACTCTGGCGCGATCTTCGTCAATATCTTTCCCGGTAAACTCTTTTAGATCTGAGATGGCCGAAATGCGAACTCTTTGGATCAGCGATGACCCTCCCGGGGCGGTCGCTGCCGTGGCGACAGCCGCTCGGCCGGAAGTATGACTGGAGGAGCTCAGGATTCCGAGGTCATCGGGATCGTATTCCCAGGAGTGTGGATCGGGGGTATCGACTGCCTCCATGTCGACATCCTGCGTGTAGTTGGGTTGTCACCCGTCCCTGTTCTTTCAAGAATTGATTCATCGCCATCTCGAAATATTCGTCTAGTTTGTTGCTAGATTCGGTCGAATTCGTCGTGGGAGTGGTTCGACCTGCAGAGATCCAGCGCTCTTCCTGCCGATCGAGTTCCTCAGGGGTCTGAATCGGTCCTGCCGGCCGTTGATACTGCCTTTTCGCGCGTGTTCTCAGGTACTTAGCGCCCGAGGAACCCAGTGACATACGCTGTGGTCTTTGGGGGAAATATGAGTCTGGGTCTGAGGTAACCGACACGTAGTGTGACGACCTGGTTTGGTACTTCGGATCGGGAGTCTGTACGTGTTCGCCGACCAGGGTCTTGCATGAGTCGAAGCGATCCTGGGTCGCCGACTGGATCGCCCCAGTTCCATCTCGAATAGGGAATCCGGGTCGAACTCCCTGGCCACCGGTCCGGCCTCCGGGAGCAGGCCTAGCACGATCTTTACTGCGTTCAACCGATCCAAGCTGGAACGTGGCATATATTTCTCACCCATCAAATCGACTCCAACCTATCATTCCGACTCGAAACTACTTTGGCGAAATTACAAAAGTAGCACCGTCCACGTAATTCCAAACGACTCGCACTTAATAGAATTTTCTCGAATGTTCTCGAACTTAACTGAACTTCAAAATTCACATTCACACT